AATTTGTCGGCCGTGATGTAGTCGCAAGGCAAGACGATCTTGACGTTGTTCTTTTTGGCCTTTTCCACCAGCTCGGCGCATTTTTCACTTCCGGCTTGATCGAATAAGCTGTTACCGATCTTGACGCCCTCCAGGGTCTTCTTGAACGTGAAAGCCATACCGCCGCAAATGATCAGGATGTTGACCTTGCCAAGCAAATTGTCGATCAACTGGATCTTGTCTGAGACCTTTGCACCACCGAGTATGGCAAGGAACGGCCGCTTGGGTTTCTCGAGAGCTTGAGCAAAATAGTCGAGTTCTTTCTTCATCAAAAAGCCAGATGCTTTGTCAGGTAGCTCTACTCCGACCATTGAGCTGTGAGCTCGGTGAGCAGTGCCGAAGGCGTCGTTGATATACACATCACCCAACGCTGTCAGACCCTTCCGGAACTTGGCAACATCGTCCTTGTCGGCTTTAACTTTGTTGCCATCCTTGTCTTTAGCACTCCCTTCTTCCTCGATGTGGAAACGCAGGTTCTCGAGCAAAATAACTTGGCCGCCGCTGGCTTTGTTGACAACCTCCTCAACCTCAGGACCAACGCAGTCGTCGGTGAATATGACGCTCTTGCCCAAAAGCTTCTCGAGCTCGGGGACGACAGGCTTCAGACTATATTTGGGATTCTTCTTGCCGTCCGGACGACCGAGGTGGGACATGAGGATGACGGCTTTGGCTCCATGTTCAATGGCGTATTTGATGGTAGGTAGAGCACCGACTATTCTCTGATTGTTGGTGACCTTTCTATCGGCATCAAGCGGGACATTGAAGTCGACCTAAACACAATCAGTGCAAACACGACGCTCATGGGAACTAAACATACTCGGATCAAAACGCGCTTATCCTTAAGGTCGATGTCAGTGATGGCGAGCTTGTTGGAGAGAGACATTTTGGACTTGGGCCGGGATAAAAATGCAACAGAAGGAAGCGTGGCTCAATGTGAAAATAGAAGAGATAGAGAGCGAGAAGAAAATCTTTATTGAGCTACGGGCTCTGAACAGAAAACTGAAGCACTTGTGAACTTATTGGGAATTGTCGGAGGGGTCAACTCGGGTTGGGCTCAATACAACGGAACTGGTGGGGTGATGGAAAAAACACGGGCGCTTTGGGGTATGGGCAACCGACGTCACGGGCTGCTCACAGGCTGCTCAATCCTCAGCCAGGGGTGGTGTTAGCAAGCAGCCTCTCAGCCATTTATCGCTCGCTTGTTTAAGGCCCTGCATGTGGTTTGCAGCATTTGCTATTTTCGCCGAGAAGTGGCACCATGTGAATGATTTGAATCACTATCTCCCAGAGATCAGATGAATTCTGGCTGGTAGGTTAACGTGCAGGTCTGTCATGGCGGGAGGACTCGTGCTGTTGTCTTCGCCACTACCCGCCAGCTTGATATATACGCAGAGCAGGTACTCTTGTCCAAGTAGATGGGAAACACATCTGCGACTGCAATGAAAACCACTTTCTACTACTGCCTTCTATCCAATCCCAGGTGTGAATCAAATCGGCTTTCATGGAATTTGGGTTCGGCGCTGAAGGGTGGGTGAGATGGTCATGCGGACCTCCGACACTCCGTCAAACAGGCTCTCGGCGTGTCGAGGCTCTCAGGCTTTCTAGGCATCGCTTGCCATGCCTGCCGCCACCTCCTGGTGAGCCTCTCCTGCAGGTCTGGCCCGAGGCCTCACTAGCCCCTTGCTGCGCACCTGTCAACCACCAACCTCATCTTTTCGTTTACTTGCACACAGAGACACGATACATCCACGACCTTTGATGGGCAATAGCCAGAGCCTGATTTCCAGTAGTACAAGACATCCTCTCCTTAAAGTTGGCTGCGCTCTTCCGACACCATCGCATCGAATTCAACGCCTGGTACTTGGTCCACTGCAGCCTGCGCCCCAATTTAAAGACGCTGTCGTCACAGACGTCCCTCATTTCCCTTCGTTGACCTCATCTTTCCACAATATCCAAGACTCCCCTTCTGTTCGATCTCTCACCTCATTAACTTCCCTCTCTCCACCATGCTGGACATCTCGAGACGAAAGTCGTTGGCGTGGTTGAACAGTACTTATATCTATGGCCGAATCGTACGCCAACCTCTTTTTGATTCTGCACTTGACAGTTCTGTTTCTCTCTTGGTAAAGCTGACTTGCTATCTTCTAAACAGCCATTATTACACACCATTCTTTTCCTCGTCGAGTTAGCAATGGCCGCCCGACTCGTCGCCAAATTTAACTCCTACTATGCTCAGAAGCCTGTCCTAACCACAATGATCACGAACGCGGTATGTGGATGAACCTGCAACAGTTGGATGATAGCTGAAGGTCAAACAGATTCTTGGAGGCATTGCAGACACGGTGGCTCAATCAATAACCGCAGTTCGAACAAGGCAAGCCATGTTGCCGACCACGACCGATTCGAGATACCTGATCTCCTCCGGTGTCGAACTCGAAGATTTGAACGAAAAGCCTGCAAGGCTATCGCCTGGTCTTCCCCCTCGAAGCAATGGGCCTCAGTCTTTCGATTTCGAACGCCTGACTCGATTCATGTCATACGGATTCTTGATGGCCCCAATCCAATTTCTGTGGTTTGGTCGACTGACCAAGTGGTTTCCTATCACCCCCAAAAGTGGCACACTTCCGGCACTGAAGAGAGTTGCTATGGACCAGTTGATATTTGCACCTTTCGGTCTTTGCTGCTTCTTCACTTTCATGACGGTGGCAGAAGGAGGTGGAAGGAAAGAGGTTATGACCAAGTTCAAGGACATCTATCTACCCACGCTAAGGGCGAACTATATCCTCTGGCCTGCCGTACAGATCCTCAACTTCCGCGTCATGCCCCTGCAATTCCAGATCCCCTTTGTGAGCACTGTGGGGATCGCCTGGACCGCCTACCTCAGTTTGACGAATTCAAGTGAGGACGAAGCACAAGCTCTCCAATGAAATTATCATGCCGTACACCTTCTGTCAGCAATGAGATACCCAATGATCAGCATCAATGGCGTTTTGAGGTGGTATGGTGATTCATAAATTGTACATGGTTCGAGCGCACGCCCACGGAATACCAACATATCCTCGTCGGCGCTTCTCGGTCTCCGTTTTGTCAGTGAGAAGTCGTCCTCTTTTTCGCTTGGGTCAGCGAACTTGCAGTGTCCCGCGTGTTTCTCGGTCACGATCGCGAGACTGCATACTCAACGACTACCAGCTTCAGGGTGCAAGAAATCAATTATGCGACCTCATCAGCTGCCTGTACTCTTGTGGCACGTTTGTCTTCGCGGCGTCCAACGTCGATATTGATATCGGCGCCAGAGGACGCCTTGACGTCTTATCCAACAATGGCACTACGTTCTATCTTCCCTTCCATGTGAGCTTCATGACTGATGAAGATCAGTTGCCCAAAGTTTTTGGCTGCTTTCATTGGTATTTTCTCTCGTGATAAGACCTGCGTCCTTGGGGGTTAGCTCGGACTGCAAGAATGCAGCACCCCTGCTACTGCCCGCCGTTGTTGCTGCCCCGATCCAATTCAGAAGACAACCACCTTCGTCACGGATAACTCTCTAGCTTCTATGGCCTCAAGTGTGTATCCTTCTATTTTCAACCTGGCACATGTATCAGATAACTTTGCACAGTAAGTTATCGTTGTTTCCCTCCTTCCTACATTTCCTTCCATCAGCAAAGAGTTGTGCTGCGTTTCCAACCAAACCACCGATCCCTAATTTTCATACCCAGCCTCGCTACCCGTGCTCTTGTACGCAACACTTCACTTCGGTCCCAAGACAGTTTTCGGTGCTGCTGGGCGCACGAGAGAGTGTCAGACACTAAACCGAATGAACCTTTCAGAGAAGTTCAGAATCGGGTAGTGGAGACATGTTGTTGGGCAAGGCTGAGGGACGAGGCTGCCAGTCTTGTGTGAGGACCTGCCTCACTGCCATCCCGTTTGGGACCGGCTTGGCCTCGCCGCCAAACCTCCTCTCTCTTCGCCCACAGCTGTCTCTTTCCCAAGGTCCTGAGCTCCTATGCCTTGTCCGGCTTGGCCTCGCCGCCAAACCTCCTCTCTCTTCGCCCACAGCTGTCTCTTTCCCAAGGTCCTGAGCTCCTATGCCTTGTCCGGCCTGTGTTACACGCTGAACGATCGGATGCGCGTTGACAGAGCGGTATGTCCTCTGGTAGCCTCTGGTCATGAGGAAGCTCGACCAGCTGTTTCGAAAGTCAACCGCTCACGCTGCCATATGCCAAAACTGCGCTCATCCGCAGGTTGGCACTCGTGCTAAACAAATCGAGCCAAAGATTATCGCAGCTCCCACAGATAGCGCCTTACGAGCATCACTGTCTCTGTTGGTAAGACTCTTGAGCACCAAAGTTTCTCACACTTTTCCCTGGGTCGTTGTCCCTCAAAGGACATCTGGTTAGCGCAGGCCTGGGTTGATGCCACAGATTCGATTTGTTGAAGAGGACGTTCTCCTTGGTGCTTCAACCAAAGTCTACATCATGCACAGGAATCTCCTTCAATATAAAAGGCTGCAGCATCCCTGCACCACAGAGACATTGCGACCTCTCCTGGCAATTCTTCATATCTAGACTTGGACGCCTCATTATCTTTAGTCAACTTGACGAAGTTCTTCCTGCTGAGGTTGCTGCCATGAAATTGCCTTGGTTTATCTACAATGTTCTGCTGGTCGCTGTCTGCACAACGTACCCCTCCTGCTTCGCACAAGGGGCCACTGTTATTACCTCATTACTGACGATAGAAACCATAATCACCGATCGGTACACATCATTGCTAGCCGCGACGGTCACTCGACCGCCAATCACAGTGACTCAGTTCATATCAGCTCCGGTAGGGCCTGCGTCTACAGCGGCCTCTCTTCCTCCCCCCACCCTTCAGCTAGCTCCGGTACAACTTGCGCCTACTCCAGCCGCCAATCCTCCACCCATCGTTCAGCCAGGTTTAGTAGTGCCTGCACCTCCTGCGGCCGCTTATCCTGTGCCCGTCGTTCCGCCAGTTAGCCGGTTCAGCCCAGCGGGAAGGTGTCGCATGGTGGTCTCAGCGTACCAAACCCATTTGATGCGGTGGGCAATACTGTTGGCGGTGCGGCGAACGCTGCTGGAGGTATTGTTGGCGGCGCAGCCAATGCTGCTGGTGGTATTGTGAAAGGTGGAGCTGGGCTTGCTGGTCAAGCTGTGGAACCCATCCGCCACCGTTACCAGTGCTGGTACCGGTGCCCATGCCAGGGGCACCAGGGATTCCAGGAGCCCCCAGTGTCCCAGAAGTCGTGGGAGTAGGAGCCCTACCAGGGATTCCGGCAGCTCCAGGGATACCAGGCCTGCCGGCGGTTCCAGCTGTCCCTTCTGGGGAACCCGTACCGGTACCAGCCCCTGCACCTGTCCCTGTACCTGCCCTAGGGTCAGTGCCAGATTCCCAGGAAACTTTACCACTGACATTTCCTCTTCCTGCTCCTCCGACTCTTGGTCCTGGGCCAACAATACCGTCGGGGCTATTGACGATTCCTAGTGACACTTCTGTCCCTAGCCTTACAGTTGGACCTTATGCGTCGCCTGCAGTGAGTATGTCTATGACCAAGACGTCAACGAATACTCCTTTAACATCATCGGAACCAGGGTTGGCCCCTACAGCTTCGAGGGCTGTAGTCCAAAGTTCAACTTCCTTCATGGCCACTTCCAGACCAGCCCACACTACGTCAGTGTCAGCAGTGATCTCTTACTTCACCGAAACTCTCACACAGCCAGGGACGGTGAAGTAAGAGATCACTGCTGACACTGACGTAGTGTGGGCGGGTACATGGAACAGTGACGCATATTTTTCGAGGCAGTTCGTTCTTGTCACAGACTTCCTCACAATCGTCTTCGTCGTCATCATCGCATACCACATTGTCAACTTCCACCCAGGCCTCCTCAACATCCAGGGGATCTGTCTTGATTGGTCCTTCAGATGCTCCTCGCAAATTGACCCGCACATTCGATCCCTCCCTTCCCGCACCGACGCATAGCTGTCCACGAGATGCCATAGCAGCTCTAGCACACTACTGTGACTATTGCAATAATGCCGGGGCCGGCAGGACAATTCAGAAGACGTACTGTGTTGGTGAGCCTAAGGTGGCATCTTGTTGCGGAGCGTGGACGCAAGGGCCTGAATAGTACAAAGGCTATGAAACTATTCGTCAACGTAAGATGAGTGAATCCCCCGATCCGAGAGCTCCTCTGGAGCAACGGCCGTTTGAATGGAATCTGCACGAAACAAGAGATGTCGGGTAATGTTATCAAGCGGGAGGTATCTCGTTGATTGTTCCCCATGCTATTTCCTTGCAAATTTTCTCTCCATTGGGAATACCATTCCTAGGTGAATAGTAGACTTTCTGAGACACCCTGGCCTTTGTAAAATTCGACACGAGCCCCCCTTGACCAAATGGCACGCTGACAATGGTTGAAGGTGATCAAACAACTGCCGCAGGAGTTCAACCTAGATGTCAAGTCATGTCGCGTCTGGAGAACTACGGAAGATCAATTCACCTTTTACATGCAGAATTTCTTCAATTACGCTGTTTACGATGTCGACGAAACCGGGCGAGCGATTGGTACAACATATTTCTGGGAGTGGGAGCCAGAAGGGCGTTGGCCTCCTGACCCAAAGCGGCGCAGAGAAGGAACTATGGGCTCAAAGCCCAAGACAGGGAAACCGAAGTCGGGCAATGGAGGCAACACACAACCAGACAGTCAGCCAACCCTAGAAGATTTGATCGCTGACTATGACAAACGCAGAGAGTGGTTTAAAGAACGACTTGGGGAGAGTGAACTACATCTTCACGGCGCAAAGGAGAAGGCGGGAGAAGGATGCGCTGTACATCTTCCACCAGACAATTTCGCATCCAAGATCGAGAAGTTTGGCATGCGCACCGACGCGTTGAATGACCATTTACCGTCTAGGCCCTCGAAGGAGGTATGGCAGCAAAAGAGAGATCGGGATTTGGCTCGTCACGTTAGGAAAGACTTCTTCGCACCCCTCAACATTTGTGCTGGGACTTTGGAGAGCCATCTTCCTTCCAGACCCGAGCGCTCCGAATACAACAGCGAACAGAAATGGATGGTTGCTGAAAAGAACTGGATAAATCTTTTTACTGACGAGCCACCCGAGAAATACAGAGGAACAGTTCCGAAGCCCGATCGCTCTCAATGCCCAAAACCCGCCATGAAGAAGCTGGCCAAACTTGGAAAGAATCTAAAAGACGTGGAGAACGTGCCCAAGGAAGATGCCAATTGGGCACTGATGGATACGTACGCTGCCGAGCTTCTGCAGCAAAAGATGTGTCGAGACTAAGTACTCATGGTTCTCGCCAAATCTAGAAGGAAGGTATACTCAAGCTTCTGAGAGTGGTGGTTCGACCGGCGCAAATGGAAAAAGTACATGGCAAGCCTTGAGAAAAGAGAGGATGTTCCGCTCCCGGAACTGGAAATAGACAACCTCAGCAACGGACAATCTCCACAGGATTAGACGACGAATGACCAGCCTAGAAGGGGTAAACTTCGCGGAAAGTCCTTTCCGCGCACGAAACTCGATCCCATTCCTGAAGCTGATGAGCCGGAGCAAGGGCAGGGGCGTGCCAATGGAGACAGTCCCGCAGAAGATGAAGGAAGAGTGCCACAAAATAATGACATTCGAAATAACCGTCAGCTCGGGACCATTTTCGACGGGGACGAGGCAGACGTTGAGCGCAAGCGGCCCTCCCAAGACAACGCTGGTGGACGCAGGCCAAGAGGCAGAAATAGACAGCGTGCGCATAACATCAAGAGGTCCTTCAGGGCCTGAAAAGGATAGTGAGTCGTGGTAGAAGAGGCGGTCCTCGCTGCTCCAATTACTATTGAATTTATACAAGTACAACATTCCATCTTGTCGAACCCTGACGAGGCTCTAGGACTCAACAACCCGTTTTCTATGGGGTGTGGTGCTATTGTTCAATGCAAACCCGGGGCTTTTGACGTAGAGAGCAATAGCCCTTGACGAGCTGTAGTCACTTTTCTTTCTCTTGCTCTTCCAGCCACGAGCCAAACTTGTCCAATCTGCCGCCCTCTCCTCCTTCTTCCTCATCGTCTTCGTCGTCAAAGCTGACCTTCTTGTCGCTTGATTTCTTGAACTTCTCTCGACCTGTTGCAATAAACGCCTCTAGTTGTCTCTCATCGAACCATCTTCCATTCATTCGCTGTCCTCCTGTCAGCATCGGCCTCCAAACAATTATCGGAATGACATACCTGGACGCAGGCAGCTGCAGCCTGAGCATCCGAGAAACGGACACTTGCAACACCTTCAGCTTCCTGGTCAAAGAGGACAACGTTTGTGACTTGGCCCAGCTTCGAACATTCCTCGCGGATGTCTTCTTTGATTTCAAGCATCGCCGCGGGATCCTCCTGGACTTCGGTCAGTTCTGCATCACCTGCGCTAGCGCAGAACTCTTTACCTCTAACTCTTGGAGCGTGAACATATGCTTCAGTATTACCACCTTGTCCCACTTGGAGCTTGTGTCCTGTAGCGTTTGCGGGTCGTCGTCATCCCAATCCATGAGTTTACTGCCTCTAGATCAGCCTCGGGGTCCAATTGAAATGATTGGGGCAAGCATACGCCTTCATCTTCTCTGTTTTTTGGATGACCTTCTTTTGTTCTCTCTTGCTTGTTTTTGGGGGGACATCCTGTTGACTCTTATATGAGAAATCTGCTGCTTGGACTCTCATCCTGCCCATTGGACCTTGCGTTCCCAATCGGAAATCTGTGTCGTCAAGCATTTGAATCGCAAGATTGACTGATTCGGGTCTGAAATAGACCACGAGTGCGTCACCCTTGAATTGGCCCTTGTCATCCTCGTACATCTTGATTCGTGGTTTTCCAGAGTCGATCTCTTCTGCGATGACACCACATTTGGAAAAGACATGTTGGATCTCTTCTTGGTCGGCATCGAGAGGTATCGAAGTCACGTAGACGGCAGTATTGACTCGAGGCTTTTTGGACTTGTTGCCGGACTGATAACAGCTGGATTTAGCGTCTGTTTGTGAGGTCCCTGGGCATGCGTACCTCATCGCCGTTTGGCTGTTTCCGTTTCTTCTTCTGTGAGGTGGTTGTCGCATCCTCGTCGACACCTGCAACCTTGTAGATTTCACCTTGTTGGTCCAACAGGGACTGGTCCAGCTATAACGAAAGGACAACAATATGGAGCAGGTTAGAATCTGTTCCTGACACCGTAGTGCAAGAATGTTGTGGAAATCATGGAGGGCGCGGTATATATTCTCGAAGGTCTCATGTTGCGAATTTGCCTACCACTGGTATCCATCTTTTCAGAGCAGTGTCCCATTCGAACTCGTTGCCCTCGTCGGTTTCGAGGATGAACTTGTTGTCGAGTTTCGACCAAGAGATTCGGGGGTCACTATCGAACGCGGATGGGTCGAGAGGGAGACCGGTATATATGCCCTCTGTCGAGCGATGATCTTCTTCGGCCATGTCGGCGCTGGTTGCGTGCAGTATTTTCTGATTCTGAGCATCACGTCGGCCACGACCAGGGAATGATGCATGCGGTCAAACTTTGGGACAAAAGTGGCAAACAAGCCAAGGCTGTCCAAGTACAGACTTCAGCCTTGTAAAGAGAGAGCTTGCATTGACAGCCTTACCTCCCTCGAACCAACACCCCTTGAGGCTGTACTTGGTCAATCAGCCACAGCAAATACAAAGAAATACCCTATGAAGAAGTATATACCATGACGTGCCAATTCAAGGTACTTATACCCTCAATTCTTGCTTACAGATCGAAAATTCACAATGGATGTCGGAGACACAAACATATCAGACGAAGCAAATTGATCTAGACGAAGTTGTAGGCTAGAGTAACTAAAAAGGTTGGACTTGAACTGGGTAATATCCAACAGAGCACGCTTTAGGAAGACAAATTGGTGACCCAGAATGGCTTTCCCCCAAAGGTCGACGCTTGATAGGACGAGGTTTAGAAGCACATATTCTGTGGTTTGAGAGCCAACGGTCAATGCACGCTGAGAAAAACCTGTTTGTGGATGGATATTATTCTCCCACTATTAATGAGACTCGAAGTCTCGATCGCTCTATGTGCTTGTTAAATCTGAGCTTCGAGACCGTCGGCCTGGAAAATCATAATGGCTGTTTAGTTGTCAAATCGTTTGCTGCAATCCCTCCCGTACCTATGTCATCCCGTCATTAAAAAAAAAGGGAAAGAAAACATGTCCATGAAAATCCCGTGATACTCAACGAGGATACTATTTCTGAAGAGGGAAGCGCTTCGCAACTCTCCTGTCGACGTAGACGCAGTATTATATCGTGCGAATTCCTTCCTCGCCGATGTCGACATCGCCACCGGAGACGCTTCGTGAGGCTCTTGGTCTGTTCGCGACCGCGGAGTGATCCTCAACGTCCGGAGACGGCAGCGAAGAAGCACTGCTGACATCAGAGGCCTTGCGATCATGCGTCGGCCTCGACTCCCGTCGATCAATGGGGGAGATTGCCCTGTCGAAGCCTGAGATGTGCTCATTCCCCAGCGCCATTTCGCCCTCGGGAATGGGCGCGAAACCAGCGCTTGCGACGCCTACTGACGTGGTATTTGGTGATGCAGGAGAGTTGGAATCGCCGGATTGTGAGACCGAAGAGGTGCCCGTAGGCCTGTTCTGGCCACCGCTGACGAAACTAGGCGGGTACATGGTCATATTACGAATATCATAATTGATGTCATCAGGACGCGTGATTCGAGAAGACCCATGGACCTCGTGCACCTCAGTGTTTGGGCCTTCGACGGGGCCGTCGTATTCACCTCTTGGTGACCGCACAGGCGTGGATGACGACCAGCGGTCCGGGTTACTTCCCGGGTCTTTGCTGAGAAAATACTCCGCCGGAAGTTCATGAGGAGCTGTTTGGATCATGGGTGTTGGAGAATGGGGACGTTCTACCTCAGTGACCGATGACTCAGTTCCAATGTCTTTCCCAGGCACAGCTGAAGGCGTCGACCGTATCCAGGACAAGATACCGCTCTTTCTGTTGTGCGCATAAGAGTCCTCTTGCTTTTGTTGGTCCCTTCTTGCCCTTCGGCAGCAGAAGAAGATGAGACCAGCAAAGAAAGCAACGCCAACCACAACGGGGACCGTGACAGCAACTGGAACCACCCAGTCCCTGTCCTTGTGTGATGACGGACTCTCGGTGGGCGTGGCAGTAGGGGTATTCGTTGAAGTGCTAGAGGTTGCATTGTAGGGTGCCCACGTTCTGATCAGGTCCTTGTTATATGCCTTGTCGAACCAGCCGGCAACCAGAGAAGGCATCCCGCTGGCAGTCGGCGTCGCAGAGATGACACTGGCCACAGTCGCAGCGGGTTTGTAATCATCATGAACTTCGGGATCGTATTTACCTGTCCAGGTCAGGTCGTTCAGATTGAAGACGTCGACACTGTTGTTGCTGTCCAGCCCGGCACCAAAGTCTCCCGTTCCGCCAATAACCATCATTTGGTCGGGGTATGGAGATACGCAGACATGACCTTGTCTTTTGTGTGTTCCAGCTCCATCAGTGTTTGCCCTGATCCATGTAAAGGAGGGCACGCTCAAAATCCACACTTCGCCGGATGCCGGGCCCCCATTGCTGTCCCACCCTCCATAGACGAAGATCTCATGGTGAGAATAGTCGGCGCTGGAAGCGACAACGGTGCAGAATTGCGCCAGTGGGCCATCGGGGATTTCAGATCCTGGGTTAATCGGTTGAATACTCCAAGTACTGGATCCGATATCGTAAACGGGAAATTCAGTCAAAAAGCTCTGAGCAACCGTGATGTCTGTTGTGTTGTCTGTCTTGAGGTATCCATTCAAATCTGCAGGATAGACGACACCTCCAATCGCAATCAGCAGTCCTTGAGTCGAAGCAGGAATCCAGACAAGAGCACCCTCGGAGCGTAGTGTGATGTTACTAAGTGTTAAGTCCTCTCGCGACCAGTCCGCATGTCCTTGAAGCTTGGTGTCCACCTTGATGAGCCATGGAGAATAGTCCTTTGGTGGGAGGAAATAAGAGAAGGCTGTGCCATCTGCATTGTACTTCCCACTGAAGTAGAAGCTGAGGTTCTCACTTGGAGCGTTGGCTCCCGCACCGTTGGTTATGTCTTTAATAAAACTCCCACTCTCAGGCGAATACGCGATATTTGGAACGCCTGCCACGACATTCGAATCCGGCGGGATGTCGTACAGAGGAACGCTCACTGTCCGGTCTGTGACGGTGTCCCCGGAAACGTAGTACATGCCCCTTGAGAAAGTGTCAACTTCACAACGCCATACGACAGGGTGCGGGAAATTTACCCATAAGCGTAAAACTCATCGTAGTCGGCGAACATATATCCATCGAGGTAGTAGTTGCTGAGCGGCCCCTCGTTGATAGATTGGAATATCGCAGGGTTGGCCTTGGTGGTATCAAACGGCTCATGCAGGCTGAGCTTGTACAAAAAGCCCTGAGAGGAGGTAGAAGACTCCAATGAATCCCAAACACCGTTGGTATACACCCCGGTTTGCATATAACCACCTTCAAGATACACATTGTCTCTGATCAAAGCAACTCTCGGCCTGTCCCAGAGACCTATGTTGCTAGAGTTATGATCACATAGAACAACGCCAGCGAGGGTGAGTACCCACGCGCCGTAATGCAGTATGGACAACATGGCTGCTGGATGGATTCGAAACCTCAAATGTACCGAGCAGAGTTCAAAATTGGACCATGAGGCTCAGGTCTTCCCCCAGGCTATAGATACGGCCTTCCATCAGTTGCAAAAGAAGTTGAACGTGCAAGTCGGGAGTTTCCCACTACTACAGGACATGACCGGCTCAGATGATCGTGGTCCCTGCGGCAATGGCACGTCGGCTAGCAGAGTCTAGTTTGTGGCGAAGGTATCGGAGAGCCAGCGGATTCAGACTTGGAATGTCTTCTCGAAAAACCATCCACAGACATCTTGGAATAGCGATGATCCAGACCGTGGTAGGCAAGGGGCCCTTCGCTCGTGCATAAGAGGTGGGTGGTCTCAGGCCCAAGGTTGAGGAAGCCTTACAAGCGACGTCTCCACACCCGGAAGACAGAGGGAAAGACACAAAAAGACGGGAGGTTGGGCGCAAGAATGAGCCTACCAGATTTGGCATCGCAAGCAGACTGTTGCAAGGGTATCTTGGAACAAGCAAGGATGCTCACTGCATGCACTGAGCCCGAGGCCGCGAGGGCGGGCAGGAAAGGAAGGCTGGGGCAAGCTAAGCCCTTCGACTGGGTTGCATCGATTGGAGTTGGTCGGCTTGCTTGCACCAGAAAAAGATGGTCCTTGCAGAGACAAGTAACAATATAGCCCCCACAGCTTGGTTTGGTGAAGAGAGCTCCTCGGACAATAATAATCAATGACAAAGCAGAGACCAGAACCATTGTGGTGATTTGGAAGGATGCGGTAGAATGATGCTCGAACTGCAGGATAGGGCTCAGCCTCATCGCCATGTAAAAGATCGTGCATCGCCTCGAGTAGTAAGAGCCCATTCCTTCAACCTTCCTCCGTTTCCCTCCTCTTGTGCGCTACTAGGAGAGCCATCTCCTCCCTTTTCCATTTTCCTCCTCTTGTGGGAGACCAGTACGCGAGAGAGTCAATCCACTGCTGACAGGTACCGAAGTGTAAGGTGATGGGTTGCCTCTTCGGTTCGTAGGACGCATCCACACTGACATGGGGTTCAAGGATGGTTTGGTTGTGAGGTTGAAGTGCGCTGTTCACTGCCAATGTTGGCTGTGTGGCTGCGAATAGCGTTTGGCGCCCCCGCACGGGACGGCACAGGGCGGCGACGACTTCGCTGCCAGGTGAAGCAGTTATTCGCTGTCAAGCTTGATGTGCCGTTGACTTTGCCGATCTTGGGGTCTAGGCAACCGCTGGGCCCGGAGCTGAGAACGCATCTGGGTGCAAGTGGTTTAGGCGGGGGGCCTCGTATTGTAGGGAGCCACCTCACCACCTTTCCGGTGCCTGGTGCTGCGCTGTTGGCTACCCACGCTATTACCTCACCGTCGCTAGCCTCCACTTACTCGGACTGCTGCGCTGCGGCGATTCTACCAGCAAAAAGTCTTTTCTACCTACTCCATCAGGCTCCATCATCAGGCTGACGACTAGAACCTGTCAGCATCCTTTCGGCGCCGCCTGAGAAGCCTACCCGTACGAAACACGGGAGTCCTCCGCATCCATCTCAGCTTATTGCCGCTGGTAACATGAATGAAGAGCGCGATGCACAGACGGTGGTTTTTCGAACAACTCGCAGTTAGGAGGGGAAATCCAACCCTGTGCATGCGTCCTTCCGCCACGACTCGGACCTTTTGCCTCCCCGCCTTTCGCTGCAGTCGCTTCGAGAGCCGGGCCAGAGCCCTCCGACTGAATAGCACAGAGGCTTGCATTTGTGCATGGGCTCGGGGGATTGACTACTCTAAGCGACCCTTCGAAAGCGAACAATATTTTTTAGAGAGAAAAGAAAAAGTCCCGTCTCACACCACACCAGCGTCCACTGGCTTGTGGTTTTTCTCCGCAGCCATACTCTACTGGGCATTCTCAGCCTCATCCCAACCACCTTCTCAACGCCCCAGGTGGATCCATTCCGCGAGCCAGGCTCTAAATAGTTATGGTGTCTTTCTTCGGCATTTGTCCGTCTTTCGAAGTCTTGAGTTTAGGGCTTAGATTAATTGGTAGCTTTGTCCGTTGTGATCAGGGATAATTCTTGTGTAACACAAGTCCACAGCCGTGTCCGCTTCTTCCACCTCCAGCCGAACACTGCGAGCAGCTACTCGAAATACGCCCCCAAATACTATCTGCGTTCTTCAGATCCAAGTGACCAAGATGGAGGACTCAGGATACGTACTCAAATCATTGCGCTCAATCGCTTTTGCTGGACCTCTTACAAACTGCGGACTTCAGCCCGCCGAGTGAGAACTGCAGCCTCCTCCAAGCATCATAGATATTTTATCGATTGGCGGCCTTTTGGGGTCCAAGCTCCTCGTCATTTGCTATGCCAAAGCAGGTTTGATCCCGTCCCGCAGTCGGTGGCTGCCTCAAGACAATAGTCCCAGCAGGGGTTGGTGAAAATAGTTCACTACTTGTAGGCCTCGTACACGTGCACTTGCACGGCCCAACGCTGGCCCGCTCTACTTTGCCCGATATGCAAGCCATTGATCTGTCGGTACTAGGTAGCATCGCTTCCGTGGGGACACCGCCCATTGTGGTAGTTATGACGCGGGACTGAACAGGAACAGGACAGGACCTGCAAATCTCATATATCAGACAAGGTATGGATTGACTCCCAGGATTTCCTCGCGTTCTTCTTCCTTCAGAGATCTCCTCTGCCTCGCTGTCGCTATTCCGTCATTCGTTGTACATTCGCTCATCTCAATATGGACGTGATGAGGCTGAAGCTTGTCGGTCTTGCCGCCTCTCTTCTTGTCACCATGGCCCAGGCCGGCAGTGGCGGAGATGACGGCTGGGGCTCAAGCTCCTGTGCTACTGTCTACTCTACCGTGTGGTCGGTATCAACAGAATATGTGCCAACCACGACAGAGAAGATCGTTTACTCCACAGAGACCGACTACGTGACAGTCACTACAACCGACACGGTCTATATCACCGACACAACTACTCAGATATCAGTCCAGCCGACCACGATCGTCAGTCCAACCACCATTGTCAGCGCTACAACAATCGTTGAAACCACCACCGTCGTTAGCCCGACCACCGTGGTCGTACCAACAACCATCGTTAGCCCAACAACAATAGTTAGCGTGAGCACCGTTGTGAGCGTCCAACCAAGCACTATCACAGATATTGTCCCAACCACCGTCGTCAGTGTGAGTGCCACGACAGAGACTGTCTCGACATACCCAGGCCTTGTCACGTGTACCTCAAGGGTTGTCAACCCCACTTATACTCCCAAAGCTGCTCTACCCACCAATTACCTGTGGGGATGTGCCCCTGGCACCATCTGTACTCCTCCACAGATTGGCTGCAACTGGGAACAAAATCCCCCGGCTGATACCTATGTTTGCGCTCCGGAAGAATGCAAACCCGTTCCTCAATTGTTCTTGCCAGCGAACCTCAGCTCATTGTGGCCAAATCCTACCGATACCACGTGTGCTTGGGAAGAACCAGCTCAGGGCTACTTCCACCTCAACCCACAGCACTTTGGACTCAGCTTCGCCATCTTCGATGTCTTGGGCCAGCCACTGTGCCCGGCCCCGGCTACAACAACCACTTGGGCTGACTGGTCCAGCGCAGCCCCGACTACTCCTCTACCCAAGCCCACGTCTACATGGGCCCCTAAGATGCCTCGACGTGGACTGATGGCCAACCCGATCGCCGAGATTGTAAGCCGACAGAACTTCCTAACAGCCCCAGCACAGTGCTACCGCATTTACGATGCTGCAAGTCAGGCTGGCCAGGCAGTAGGATTGGTTTTCGACCTGCTCTGTCCGTCTAGCACCACTTTCCAACAGGCTCTCACTCAGTGTCGTGCATGTTCTGAACAATATGCCAGCAGTGCGACAGGCACAGATACCTTCCCGGAGCTCCAAAACTACTTCCAATATTGCCAGACCCATACTTCGTGAGGAACGAGACCTCATCTCAACGGCGCTTAAGGTTGAAACTTCGGCGACTGGACCCCGAGATGCCGTCGGTGCTACCCGACTTGCCACTGAATCTCGCACCGCAGACCTACATTAGCTCAGAATGTTGGGGATGATTTCCTCTGTACGTCTCTGAAAAAGAGGCTTGGAAGCATGGCAGAGCTGTTATACAGCATCAAGAACTGAGAAGCATCTCTTTATTGTATATACCCCTCATCTGCACGATATGCACCATTTCCTACTAAATCTAGGGCAAGCTTTGCGGATCTTGACACAAAAGCAGTCAGAAGAGGGGAATGTGGAAGCTAGCGAGATCAATGACTTGATTGTTATGGGAATGGAACGATGTCACTCCTTTACGATGGAACAGGCGTATACTCAGATAATCTTAATGCGAATGGCAAAAGTCATGTAGAGCAGCCTTCTCTTTTCAGTCTGTTACTCAATTTCAACTACGTGTGTAACCTCGAGCGTCCCAAATACACTAGTATCACGCCCGCCGATTTAGGGGACCGAAGACTTCCAAGCCGTGTATCAATCCCAGGAGATAAACCTGACGCCCCCTCCCCACGTCTCAAGTGCCAGCTGCTAGTTACTCTGACGAAAATTCAAGTGCTCCCTTCATGGCTCTAACAATGCCAAAAGTAAAACATCCGACTCACTCCAAAATGGCAAAAACTTGTCCCAGAGCAGCTCAACCTACTGGTCTGTGATAAGGAGAACTCGCCCTTGCGGGTTGGTTTTTCTCGCCCGGTTATACTACGAATTCTATACTACAAGATTGATGTTGTCAAATCGAGGATTGAAATCTCGCAGGGAGGGAGGAGGGAGGATTCGAATCGGGGTCCTGATGCCTGCTAACCCGGGGTTAGTTTTGACCTGAAAGGATCCAGAATGTGGCGTAATCGGGATTCGAACTCGGTACTCGCCCTTGTTGTAGTAAGGGGGTCTTTGCGTGACAGAATTTTGGAAAGAGAAAACATATATACAAGTGATTTTTGAACCTTTGTACCGGTACCTCTATGACTTGTCCCCACTGGAGATATACGAGTAGCAGAGGGAACCGCTTGGCGTTGGGATTTACTCACTGGGACTCTATAGAAGGATGCCTCCATACATCCCTTCTCCTAGCTCGCTAGGCACTGTGCGATGAAACCCTCCAGTACCAAAAGTCATAGTACATCGTTGTGATGGATTGAGAAACATCCTTCACACCTGCTGAACTGAGACAATCTCCCCGAAGAAAACTATTCCGACCGAGGATGAAGCCTATTAGCCTATTATTTCTTGTCAAGGAGATTCATGCCCGGGTAAAATGTACAAGCGTGTTTAGAACAATCCCGGCGCCAATTTGAAAAGAAAAAGAACATGGCGGTAAAAGAAAAAGCATGAACAAGTGAGCGTCGTTCATGAGCCGGTAGCGAACATCGCCCAGCCCAGGGAGGTTCATACTACGTGGTCGGCTATAATATTGCTGCACGGGAAAAGCATTCGGGGACGAACTATTACCCTCACGTTAGGGTAACGTGGTTGGCGTACTACGTATGTGAGAACGGTGAATCAGACATAATTATGTCCAGGTTGAAAGAACGCGTCGAAGGATATACAAAGCTTCTGGCTAGTTTTCCTGAATGATCCACCAGGACAAGGTACTCGGCATAGAATTATGGCACTCCTCTTGGATAAATTGAGGTATCACTTTGCATTAAAATAGTATGATATTTGATTTTAATGAGCTATTCAAAGAAGACAGAAAAAGACTCTTATCTATTCAGTACAAGAGATGATCGGTGAACTCGTGCCACCTGGGGAGCATTTGGGGGTATTGATTATCACATCCTGGAATCTAACATGTCACCACTATGCTTGTCGTTCATGGTGATTGAGGAACGGTAGCTGGTTTCTCGGGGTGCTCGCCATCGGAGCTGGGTACTTCTCGCTGCGCAGGAGTGTCTTGCTCGAGGCCATTGACAACGTCTCGGGACAACTCGACATACTACAAATAAGTCAGTAATTGCCATCACAAGTAGCGCGGATTGTCAAGGGATAACTCACATCGTATGCAAATTCGCCAATCTCAGTCTCGTCCATGCCCATGATCTCTTCTTGTTCGGATGCACGTAGATGAAGGCCTGGGATGAAGTTGAGGAGGAACAGGATGACACAGCTGAGGACAAAGGAATATGCCATTCCAGTGACGCCGTCGCAGAGTTGGTAGGCCAGTTGAATCCAGTGCTTATTGAGCCAACCGCCGTCAATCTCGCTGAATCCATCCAGATGAGCGATGTAGTCCGCTGCGAAGAGTCCAGTCAAGAGGTCGCCGACAAGACCACCAATACCGTGGATTGCAAAGATATCGAGGGAATCGTCAATGTGAAGGAGGAACTTGAGCTTGGTGGCATAGTTGCAAGCAATTCCACCAACAACACCGAAAATAACGGCGGACCATGCGGGAACGAAGCCACTAGCTGGAGTAATTGCGACCAGGCCGGAGATAACACCGCTGCAGAAGCCGACGGTGGACCATTTGCGCTCCAAACGGTAGTCGAGGATGCACCAGGTAATACCGCCGACGCTCGCTGCCAAGTTGGTGACCACAGCAGCCATGACAGCACGGAGGTTGGCAGCCAAAGCAGAGCCAGCGTTGAAGCCGAACCACCTAAACAATCAATTAGTCGTCAAAGATCAAATAGGCGCGACCAGACCACATACCCGACCCAGAGGAAGACAGTGCCAATGACAATGTGTGTAACGTTGTGTGGGCGATAGTTCAGCTCGTGAGTACCGTGACCATGGCGTTTTCCCAGCATAAGAGAGTAGGCGAGAGCAGCAGAACCGGAGGCGATATGGACAGGAGTACCTCCAGCAAAATCGAGGCCGCCCAGTTGGAACATCCATCCGGATCCATTCCAGGTCCAGCAGGCAATCGGGTCGTAGACAATGGTCGACCAGATGAAGGAGAAAACCATAGCGGGGAGCATTCGTCCACGTTCGGCTGCCGCGCCAATGGCGAGGGCGACGGTGATGGCAGCGAACATTCCTTGGTACACGGCGAACATGAGATCGGGGATCTTGCTTGATCCCACAGAGGGAGCTCCCAGGACATTGCGGAAACCAATGTTTTCGAGGTCCCCTATGTATTTACCCGCGGTATGGGAGAAGGTCAAGGAATAACCCCAGAAGAACCACTGAAAGGAGATCAAGCCCGTGGCTGCGACCGACAACCAAATGAGCGAGAGGGCAGATTTCCGTCGCGCAAGGCCCGAGTAGAAGAAACTGCGATTCGCTGATCAGCAACGAGGCCAATATCAAACGCAGACGAGAGGACACGGCATACCCAACACCGGGAATCATGAGAAGCACCAAGGCTGTGGCGGTGATCATCCAGGCAATGTCGCCAGCATTGTAATAGATGTTGAGATCCTCTGTAAGAGAGTCTCCACCAGTCATCGAGGTTCCTGCAGCGAGGTGGTATTAGTTTGGGACCAGTTTCTCAAGGCGCCGAGGCTGAGATCAGGAGAGAGCAAAACATATCACATACCCTCGTAGACTTCAAGCGGAACATAGGGGAGCGACCCCAAATCGTCAGTCGACATCTTGAAAGAGTGACTGTAGTTCTGTACAACCAAGGGTGTGCTGGTGAAGTGTGCTGTCCCCAAATGTAAGGAGTAATCTCTGAACCCAGAAGAATACCAGGGGTTCGAAGGGAGTGACTGGAATGGCGACCAAAGGAGAAAACCCTCTGAGAATTCACATCCAAAAGTCGGGGACCAGCGGGAATGAAGTATTGATATATGGAAGAGGCGTGGAGGGAACAGGTGGGCAGAGATCGGGACTGAAAACGAAATTGAGTCTGGCAAAAGAAACGAATATGGCACAGGGTAACGAGGTTCGTATGGTGGAGTGGCACCTGGTTGACCTGATTGACCTGATTGTGCCACCTGGAAGGGCTTGGGACAGGCTCAGGGCGAGACTTGGCACGTCCTCCTAGCCCAGGATTAAGCATGGAGACCCGAAGCAGAGTTCGCCGGACAGCGCCCGTAACGCCCCCGAGAGCCCCTGACAGACAGGTCGAGAGGGAGAAGAGTGGGGATGATAAGGCTCGATAGCCCCGATAGGCTCGATAGAGAGCCCGGGAAGAGCCGGGCTAAGACCATAGATAGGCGCCACCCAGGGAGATTCCCAGGCCCAATACAATAATAAATAGAGGTAATCGAGGTGACAAAGCCCCTGTGATTGCCCGTGGGCTGATCAGGGCTGAATCAACCTGCCCTGTGTTCCAGGTGTATCAGCCAAGAGGCTACACACTGTCTACGACTGCGTGCCTAGAAAAGCAAAGGAAAAGAGCTGCCCGTCTCAGCGATGGCCATGTTGACAGCTCGTACTCTGCCTTGTTTCTCCCCCGTCTTACTCAGCGCACTGAGCACTGATTCTCCCAGCGCGCATCATCATACGTAGCAGGTTCGAGGAAAAGTCCCAACAGCCTCTTCTTCCACTCCACCCTAACACCCCACAGGTACTGACTGAATGACGGGGATTCCTTTCTTGTGTCCCATGTTCCATCCAACGGCCCAATATATCCGGTCCTCCAAGGCTGCCTCGTGCTTTTCGCCTACTAGTCGTCGCTAAAAATTGAAGGTTGCATAAGCCCCAAACTCCATTTTTGCCAGGCACACTAGGGGCATTGCCTGAGGAGCGTGGATCCTTGTGCTCGCATTTCTGGGCGAGATAAGCATCTACTTCACAATTGGCTCACATGCAAATCCAGATTCCAGTGGGGGGCATGGTGACGCTCAGCACATCTCCACACAGATAACGATTTCGACGCTTCTGGTCTGTTTCATCTCACTTCGGCACTGGTCCTGCCGTGCCAACCCTACAAGTACTCATACCAAGGTTGTATCTACCTACTCCGCGCACCGTACAGAAAGCGATTGACACGGGCCAGCACGATTCTTTCGACCTCTACCGAGTACGCTAAC